TAGTGCTACGATACTACTACTCCTACTACTACTGCTATTGTTACTGCTACTGCTACTGCTACTGCTACCACCACTACTACTACTACTACTACTACTACTACCACTACTACTACTACTACTACTACTACTACTACTACTACTACTACTACTACTACTACTACTACTACTACTACTACTATTACTACAGCTACTACTACTACTACTACTACTACTCTTCATTGAGCTACATGGAGGGCGATTTACTTTTCAAAATGGGCCCATGGGGCGCCTGTTTTTCAAGCGAGCCCTCCCCACGACAACATGGAGTTCTTCGAAGGATTCATGACGGTGGGGCTTGGAAAGGGCTCCTCGTAGTAAGGAAACCGCGTATGTGCTTTTGATGAAATCTGCGCTGTGCTCCCTTGGTAGTGCCTCGAGCCTCGCCCCTGACGCACTCCGCGCGCTAGGGAAGGGGGTCCAGTGCCGATCATGCCGATCTACGAGGTCCACGCGGACCTTCGAACATGTACGTTAACGCATGAGGAGGTGGCTTGCGACGGGAGGGGTGTATGTGCCCGGCAGCTTTGTCGATGTATCCTGTGTTCATTCTGATTCTTCCTCCTCCTCCTCCTCCCGTCAAGAAACGGCTTTCGGACCTTTCTGGTGGGGCGTGCCAGATCGATTTTCGACGGGAATCCAACCTTGGCATGGCCTTGTGGGGTGGGCACAGGCAGTGTCAGAGAAGCCTTGAGGCGACTTGCAAACATCCAGTTTCTGAATGTTTCGGGTAAAGTTCCGATTTGGCCCCTCTTCACTCGTCGAAACGGGCGAGTACCCCCCAGACGGAAGTAGGAGCTTCGGTCTTCAAGGTCCCGGCGTAACGTCAGGCACGACTGTTTCCCCTCGTTCGAAGTGAAATCAAAGTGCATAGCACATACATTTTCGGAGGTCCGTGCGAAATTTTGTTGATCTGCGCTGGACCTCCCCTGGTGGCGCCTCTGACGCCGCCAGGGGGTCAAGTGTCGATCTAAGAGATCCGCGCGGAACTGCGTGCATTTACGAATGAAACGGGGCTCGGGACGGAAGGTGTGCATGTGCCAGGCAGCATCGCGGATATATTTTGTGCTCATTATGGTTCTTCCTTCTCGTCCTCCCCTCAAACATCGGCCCCCGTGCCTCTCCAGCCTTCCGAGGTGGAAATCCAATAGTGGCGACGAGAAGCCTCCCGCAGGCCCCAGATGGGCGAACAAAACCACGAACGCCTCGAACCAGGATCTTCGGAGCCTCCCTCAGACGGGGCTAGGACGAGGATAAATCCGTTACAGAGCGTTCCGGAACGCTCTCAGAGCGTTGTGATCGTTCTCTTATTGATTGTTGGGCTTACGCCGCACCGCCGACCCCTTGGGGGGCTCCTGGTAGGTCTCTCGAGAGCCTGCTGGTAGCACTTTTGAAGCCTTTGGGGGGCCTTTTTGGGGCCTCTTGGGGCCTCTTTTGGGCCTCTGGTGGGCCTCTCGGAGCCTCTTGGGGGCTTCTTGGGGGCCTCCTGGGGCCTCCTGGAGGCTTCTTGGGGCCGGGGGCTCGAAATTTCCGTTCGGGTCCCCGCCTGGGCCCCCTCCTGGAGCCGTCTTGAGGGCCTCTTGGGCCATCTCGGGGCCCTCTTGGGCGTCTTGGAGCCTTCTTGGGGGCTTCCTGGGCCATCTTGGGGCGACATTGAGGCCTCTTGGGCCGTCTTCGACGTTGTGAAAGCCCACGAGGCGAATGTGCTAAAATCAAAAGTTTCCCGACGGAAATGCAATGATTTTTGCTTCTGGGGGCCCTCTTGGGACGCCTCTTGGGGGCCTCTTGGGGCCTCTTGGGGCGTCTCGGGGACCTCTTGGGCGGTCTGGGGGCCATCTTGGGCGTGTTGGAACGATCCATCGGCGACTCGGGGCCCTCGTGGACCATCTTGTGGGCCTCTTGGGGCCCTCATGCCCCGTCGTGAGGCCCGTGGTGCGTTCAGCAGGGGCCGGCCGGACTCCGGCTGGACCCCCCTCCAAACCGACTGGACTGGGTCCCGGGGGAGGCGTTTGGGGAGGGGGAAGCATCTCACACGCCGATGACCCCAACGGGTCGGCGGATTGTTTTGCCGATCGGCGTGGGCCCTCGCACCCCCCCCTTTCCCCCTTCCCCCGTGGAGTAGATCTTGGCTGTTTTTGGCGCCTGTTTCGAGCAGGTGGAGTCCCCCCCATAGGACGCACCGGAGCCATACGGCCATACTCCCCCCCTCCCCCCCTCCCGCCCAATGTCGAAACGCCGAGTTAAAAGAAACACGCTCCCGTTCCGGAACGCTCTGAGAAGGCCGCGGCGTCCGGTACATCCCCCAGATCTGCCGGATCTCAGAGATTCTAGATTTATCCGTTCCCGATTTTCTTCTCGTCCTAGTTTCGTTTTATTCCCTTCCTCCCTTCCTCCCCTCCCTCTCTTTCTCCCCCTCTCCCTCCTTCCCTCTTACTCTATCCCCCGAGACATCCTCCGACATGGCCTTGTGCATCCGCGGCCCTGAAGCTCCCGGCCTCTTCCTCGGGGGGTCGTCCAGCATGTCGGCCAGCCCCGGGGCCCGAGATACCAGGCTCCGTGGGCCGAAATCTAGGAAGAGCGCCCAGACTGAAATCTCGCCGGAGATTTGTGTCCCTCCCTCGCTACCTCCTTCCCTCCCTTCTTCCCCATCCCAAGGGGGAGGAAGAGGGAGGGGGGGCATGCTGCTGCTGCTGATGATGATGATGATATTTCTATTTATGTGGATGATGATGACGACAAGGACGCCGCCGACGACGAGGGGAGGGGGGGCATGTTGATGACATGGCGATGATGATGATGATGATGATGATGATGATGATGATGATGATGATGATGATGATGATGATGATGATGATGATGAGGATGAGGATGAGGATGAGGATGAGGATGAGGATGAAGATGATGATGAGGATGTTGATGTTGTGATTGGTGGTGATGATGATGATGACGCCGACGACGACGATGATTCTGACGATTATAACGCTGCGATGCTGATCATGCTGATGATGATGATGACGATGATGATGATAATGACGACGATGGCGCGATGATGATGATAATGATGATGATGATGCTGATGATGATGATGTTGATAATTATGATGATGGATGATGCAGTTGCTGCTGCTGATGACGATGTTGATGATGATGATGATGAGGATTATGATGGTGACGATGCTGCTGATGATGAGGATGATGCTGATGATGCTGATGTTGATGATGATGATGATGATGATGATGATGTTGCTGCTGATGATGATGATGATGATGATGATGATGACGACGCCGACGACGACGATGACGACGATGATGCTGATGATTCTGATGATGCCAATGTCGATCATGATGATGATGATGACGACGATATTGATGATGCTGACGACGACGATGTCGACGATGATGATGATGATGCTGCTGATGATGATGATGATGATGATGATGATAATATTGCTGTTCCTGATGATGATGATGCTGAGGATGTTGATGCTACTGCTGCTGATGATGATGATGACGGGGACGACGAAGATGCTGATGATTATGATGATGCCGATGCCGATCATGATTATGATGATGATGATGATGACGATGCTGTTGATGATGATGATGTCGACGATGACGACGATGATGATGCTTATCCTGACGATCATTTTTGATGCGTATGATGATGATGATGCTGTTATTGATGAAGACGACAATAATGATTATGATGATGATGATCAGGATGATGATGATGATGATGATGCTGATGACAACGACGATGGCGACGATGATGACGATGATGATGCTGATGCTGCTGATGATGACGATGAAAACGATGATGACGGTGATACTGATGATGCTGATGCTTTTGATGATGATGCTGATGAGGCTGACGATACCGATGCTGATGATGATGCTCACGGTGGTGATGATGATGAGCAGGATGCTGATGATGATGATGCTGATGATGATGATGATGATGATGATGATGATGATGATGATGATGATGATGTGCATGTGATGATGATGTTGATGATGATGATGCTGATGATGGTGATGGTGATGGTGGTGGTAGTTGTGTTGGTGACGGTAGTGGTAATGGTAATGGTGGTGGTGATGATGGTGATGATGATGGTGATCATGAGTCTGTTGATGGTGATGGTGATTCTGGATGTGATTCTGACTCTGATTATGATGACGATGGGGAGCAGGAGGAGGATGATGAGGAGTAGGAGGAGGAGGAGAAGGAGGAGGATGTGGAGGAGGAGGACGATGTTGCTGCAGCTGCTGCTGCTCATGATGGTGATGATGATGATGATGATGATGATGGTGATGGTGGTGGTGGTGATGATGAGGAGGAGCATGATGATGATCGTGGTGATGATGATGGTGACGATGCTGCTGATGATGATGGTGACGATGATGATGATGATGATGCTGATGGTGATGATGATGATGATGATGATGATGATGATGATGATGGTGTTGAGGATGGCGATGATTATGATGATGCTGCTGCTGATGATGATGATGAAAGTGACGATGAAAATGATGATGATGATGATGATGATGATGATGATGATGATGATGATGATGACGATGACGATGACGATGATGATGATGATGATGATGATGATGATGATGATGATGGTGGTGGTGATGATGATGATGATGATGATGATGATGATGATGGTGACGATGCTGCTGCTGATGATGATGATCTGATGATGCTGATGCTGATGATGATGATGATGATGATGATGATGATGATGATGATGATGATGATGAGGATGAGGATGGTGATGATGATGATGATGATGATGATGATGATGGATGATGATGATGATGATGATGATGATGATGATGATGATGATGATGATGATGATGATGAGGATGATGAGGATGATGAGGATGATGAGGATGAGGATGAGGATGAGGATGAGGATGAGGATGAGGATTATTGTCGCTCGGTTTCGTCAGCCGCAGGCGTCGCCGCCATCCGGCGATGGGCCGCGCGCGCCGGTCCACTTCGAGCCGCTGGGGGCGGACGACGAGGAGGCGGGCGGCCTCTCGCGGGAGTGCGCCGACGTGGACCAGGCTGGCGGGGCGGCTGGGGGGGGGGGAGGGCGGGGAGGGGAGGAGGGGAGGGGAGGGGGGGGGAGGGAGGAGGGGAGGGCGGGGGAGGGGAGGAGGGGAGGGGGGGGAGGGCGGTTGGGGGGGGGGGCGGGGGGGCGAGGGCGGGGCGGGGGCGGGGGGCGGGGGGGAGGGCGGTTGGCGGGGGGGAGGGCGGGGGAGGGGAGGAGGGGAGGGAGGGAGGGAGGGAGGGGGGAGGGGAGGAGGGGAGGAGGGGAGGAGGGGAGCGGAGCGGAGCGGAGCGGAGCAGTTGCGAAGCGGCGGAAAGACACGCCCATTCCCCTGCCGGTTCAGCCGAGGAAGAACACGGCGTAAGTGAAGGGCATGAGCTCTGACACCCTCCTGGCACTGCGAAGAAGACCGAGGAACGGAACTGATACCTCGAATGAGTCCCTCCCCATTGTAGTCGACACCCGCGCAGAAAGTTAATTCACGACGCATCGGCAACAACACATGTGTTCACTCCCCCACCGCACCACCAGAAGAAAGGCGCCAATCCAAATTGAATGCCAGCTGAATCCGGGACACAACAAAATCCACCCACATCGCCAGACAAAGCGTATGACCCACACCTCTAACCGAGATGACAAAGAGCCACGCGGCTGCGCCGACATGCGAACCACAACACGTGAAAAACGAGATGCACATGGTACCCCTTGTTAGGGAAAACCATTTGCCAAAGCACAACCATTCATTGAAGTACACCCAGGCGGGAGGCGTTGGGTCAGTGCACGTAGGCTCCCACTGTCCCTCCCGCCTGGGATGGAAAACGAAGAGACCGAGCAGGAACGTAATATCCAGAAGTATATGCACAGCATGCTGAAGGACAACACTGCGCATCAACTCCAGGGGAAGAACCAGCTGTTGGTACTCCGCTTCGTCCCTGCATTCACACATAACAGGAGGGAGGAGGGCGGAGGGGAGGAGGGAGGAGGGGAGGAGGGAGGCGGGGACGGGAGGATGGAGGAGTGGATGTGGATGGGGGAGGAGAGGAGGAGTAGGGGAGGGGGGAGGGGAGGGGAGGAGGTAGAAGGTGGATGGGGAGGGAGGAGGAGGGGGGGGGGAGGGGAGGAGGGAGAATGCGGATGGGAGGAGGGAGGGGAGGGGAGGAGAGAGGAGGGGAGGGAGGGGAAGGAGGTAGGAGGTGGATGGGGAGGAGGAGGAGGGGAGGAGGAGGAGCGGAGGGGAGGAGGGAGGAGGGCGGAGGGGAGGAGGGGAGGAGGGGAGGAGGGAGGCGGGGACGGGGGATGGAGGAGGGATGGGGGGAGGAGAGGAGTAGGGAAGGGGGGAGGGGAGGGGAGGAGGTAGGAGGTGGAGGGGAGGAGGGGATGTGAGGAGGGGAGGGGGGAGGGGAGGGGAGGAGGGATAATGCGGATGGGAGGAGGGAGGGGAGGGGAGGAGAGAGGAGGGGAGGGAGGGAAGGAGGTAGGAGGTGGATGGGGAGGGGGAAGGAGGGGAGGAGGGAGGAGTGGAGGGGAGGAGGGAGGAGGCGGAGGGGAGGAGGGAGGATGCGGAGGGGGGGCTGGTAGGGAAGGGAGGCGGGGAGGGACAAGGCCAGGTGTGCTCGCGTCATATTCTGACGTCCTACCCCTCTCTCCCATCCCTTACCATGACGTAGATATCCTCTCTATTCGCACAGTCGGATGTCGCAACATGACATAGCATTCCATGGCATAGCATGGTGTTGAAGATCAACGCGTAGCATGCCATAGCATGACGTGGCGACGCCCCCAAATGGGGGGGCTTCTGCGGCCTCATATTTCAACGAATCGACACCGAATGTGTTTTCACTTCCGATCGTTTTTCCGTGTGGCCATTTCCTAATTTTTTGGGCCTATTTGAAGGACCGAAAACCACGCCGTGGCATGGCGCTGGAAATAATGACGCCAGCGCTGCAGCGGGAGCACGATTCGGAACGAGCGGAAACGCGGAAATGAGGCCAGCGCTGCAGCGGGAGCACGATTCGGAATAAGCGGAAGCGCGGAAACGAGGCCAGCGCTACAGCGGGAGCACGATTCGGAACGAGCGGGAGCGCGGAAATGAGGCCAGCGCTGCAGCGGGAGCACGATTCGGAACGAGCGGGAGCGCGGAAATGAGGCCAGCGCTGCAGCGGGAGCACAATTCGGAACGAGCGGAAGCCTGATAGTGAGGCCAGCGCTTCAGCGGGAGCAACATTTTGAAAACAAGCCCAAGCGAAAGCCCTTTTCCCGGGAATCCTGTGTGTAAGAAGCAGTGCGCGGAGGGGGGGGGCAGATCTCTTCTGGACGTCATCAAGGGGAGAGGGGAGATCAGTATTCATATTGTGTAAGCGTGGAGGGAGGGTGGGAGTGGATGGGGAGAGGGGAGACGCGAGGGTGGGGGGTGGGCAGGAGATGGGCAGGAGGAGGGCATGGGGGGGAAGACGGTGTGCAGGGGCGGTGGGAGGGCCGGGGAGAGGGAAGTGGAAGGGGGCGGGGGGGGGGGCGGAGGGGAGGAGGAAGGAGGGGAGGAGGGAGGAGGGAGAGGAGGGAGGAGAGGAGAGGAGGAGAGGGGGGAGGAGGGTGAGGGGAGGAGGGAGGAGGCGGATGGGAGGGGGGGGGAAAGGGGAGGGGAGGGGAGGAGGGGTGGAGAGGGGCCAGCTAGGTACGCTCGCGTCATATCTGACATCCTACCCCTCCCTCCCATCCCTTACCATGAAGCAGATCCCCTCTCTACTCGCACAGTCGGATGTCGCGCAGGGCAATGATCCCGAAAGGGTACGCGATGCATTGTAGAGCACGGCATGGCATGGCGTAGAAGAGCACCGCAAAGCGTATTATCAACCTATCATTGCATTGCATGCCGTGGCATGGCACGGGAAATGACGCCAGCGTTGCAGCGGGAGCACGAGTCGAACCGAGCGGAAGCGCGGAAATAAGGCCAGCGCTGCAGCGGGAGCACGATTCGGAATAAGCGGAAGCACGGAAATGAGGCCAGCGCTGCAGCGGGAGCACGATTCGGAACGAACGGGGCCCGAAAATGAGGCCGGCGCCCCAGCGAGAGCAGCATTTTGACCAAAAATGCAGGCGAAAACCCAACTCCGGGGAAACCTGTGTGTAAGAAAACAGTACGCGGGGGGGGGTCGGACACTCCCAGGCCGTCATCAGGGGAAGAGGGAGAGTAGTATTCATATTGAGTAGTTGTGGAGGGGAGGGGGGAGGGGAGGAGGGCAGGGGGTTTGGCAAGGGCAGGGCACGGGGGGACGGCGGTGTGCAGGGACGGGGGGAGGGCCGGGGAGAGGGGAGGGGAGGGGGGTCGGGAGCCTGGAGACGGGGGTCAATGCAAACGGGGGTCAGCCAGGGCACCGGATCCTGCAGGATCCTGCGAAGACCCTTGCTGGCTGACCAGGGTTAGCGAGCTGCTCGTGGCCGCGAGGCGGCCGCGGGTCTGATTGACCCGGGTTAGCAGATCCCCGAGGGGGGTGGGGGGGAGAGTTGCGAGGTTTTTAGACGCTCTTGTGCCTTCTCGGGCCTGGCGGGGGCCATAGAGGACGCCAGGGGCCTCGGGGGTGGCCGCTGGGGGGCCTCTCGGCTGGATCCGCGTCGTCGTCCCGGCCAGAACGGGCTCCAGGAAGGGCTCGTTGGGTGATGTTGGTGGCGTCGTTGGGCCTCTGCAGGCCACCTCGAGAACATCTTTTCTGGTCTCGGAGCCATCTTTCGGACGGATTGCGGGGGCCATCTTGAGGCCATCTTGGCGTCAGAGCAGGCAGCACAGAGAACATCGGAAAGCAACATTTTTTCCCCAAGCTGTTCTGCCTTCTCGGAGCGTCTTGGGGCCCTTGTGGCAGGGCCTCTGGCCTCTCCTGGACCATCTTGGGACCGCCTTGCGGCCACCTTTCGGCCGTCTTAGGGCCTTCGGCCCCTCTCTTGGCCCTTTCGGAGCGCTCCTGAAGGCCTGTCGGACCCTTGGCCGCTCAGCATTCGCCACTGCAGGAGTGATGTGGGGCAGCCTGCAGCAGCCGAGGGCCCCCCCCCGATGGCTTCTTTTGGCGCGTCTGCCCTTCGAGTAGACATTGGTAAGGACGCGCGGCTGGAAAGGTCGGCGGTGAGGGGGTGAGATCGCAGTGAAACGGAGAGCCCCCCACCGCGAAATCGGTTTCGGTTCTATGTTCGTGTCGTGCGTGCGGGCGAGGCGAAGCTGCGTGGGCGGGCGAGAGGAAAGAACCCTGGTTGTCCGGCGGTGGCCGGGGTGTCCCGTGGGTGTCCCGATGGTGTCCCGTCGGTGCCCCGTCGGTGTCCCGTCGATATCCCGTCGGTGTCTCGGTGTCCCGTCGGTGTCCCGTCGGTGTCCCGTCGGTGTCCCGTCGGTGTCCCGTCGGTGTCCTGTAGTGGGTCCGATCGTGCAATCGATAGTGGGTCCGATAATGAGATTGATAGTGAGGTTGATAGTGAGCTCTATAATGGGACCGGTCGTGAGATCGATAGTGATACCTATACGACCACCCTTCGGGTGATAAGGAGGTTCGGGGGGGAGGAACCAACGTCTCACTCGATCGGTCTCACTATCGATATCACCATCGATCTCACTATCGGTCTCGCTCGATCGATCTCACTCGATCGATCTCATAATCGATCTCACTCGGTCTATTTCATTCGATCGATCTCACAATCGATTTGACTATCGATCTCACAATCGATCTCACTATCGTTCTCACTATCGATGTCACAATCGATCTCACATTCGGTCTCACTATCGATCTCAATATCGATAACACAATCGACCTCACAATCAACGTCATCATCATCAACATCATCGTCATCAACGTCATCAACATCATCATCATCACCATCATCGTCATCAGCATCATCATCATCGGGACACGATCATCATCACCACCTCATCACCATCATCATCAACACCATCATCATCATCATCACCATCATCATCATCATCATCATCATCATCGGGACACCATCATCGTCACCATCATCATCATCATCATCATCATCCTCAGCATCATCATCATCGGGACACCATCATCATCATCTTCATCATCGGAACACCATCATCATAATCATCTCATCATCACCATCATCATCATGAACAACATCATCAACATAATCATCATCATCGGGACACCATCATCATCATCAGCAACATCATCACCATCAATATCATCATCATCATCATCAACTCATCATCATCATCGGGACACCATCATCAACACCATCATCATCATCATCATCCTCATCATCATATGGACACCATCATCATCAACATCAGCATCATCATCATCACCATCATCAAAATCATCATCATCACCTCATCATCATCCTCATCATCATCATCAACATCATCATCATCGGGACACCACCATCGTCATGATCATCATCATCAACATCATCATCATCATCATCATCATCGGGACACCATCATCATCATCACCATCATCATCAACAGCATCATCATCAGCCTCACCATCATCATCATCATCATCATCATCATCATCATCATCATCATCATCGGGACACCATCATCATCTTATCATCATCTCATCATCATCAACATCATCAGGATCATCAACATCATCATCATCATCATCATCATCATCGGGACACCATCATCATCAGCAACATCATCATCAACATCATCATCAGGATCATCCATCATCCATCATCATCATCACATCATCATCATCATCATCACCATCACCATCACTATCATCATCATCACCATCACCATCACCATCACCATCACCATCACCATCACCATCACCATCATCATCATCATCATCATCATCATCATCATCATCATCATCATCATCATCATCGGGACACCGACGGGACACCGGCGGGACACCGGCGGGACACCGCGGACCACCGGCCCCCGGAAAGGAATCATTTGGTCCGGGCGCGCCTTAGCCGGAGGCGGGACACTGGCGGGACACCGCGGGCCACCGGCCCCCGGAAAGGAATCATTTGGTCTGGCCGCGCCTCAGCCAGAGGAGACTTTCTTCTTGCCCGCCCACGCAGTTTCGCCTCGCCCGCACGCACGGCACGCACGAACACGAAACCGAAACCGATTTCCCGGTAGGGGGGCTCTCCGTTCCACTTCGATCTCACCCCCTCACCTCCGATCGATAGTGTTCTCGATAGTCGTATCGATAGACAGATCGAAAGTGGTATCAATAGTGTGGTAACTAATGATACCGATAGCGAGATCGATCGTGAGATGGATAGTGGCATCGATGGTGATATCGATAGTGAGATCGATCGTGAGGTTGATAGCCAGATCGATCGCGATACTGATAGTGAGATCGATCGAGTGAGCTCGATAGTGAGATCGATCGTGAGATCGATCGTGAGGTCGATAGTGATATCAATAGTGCGATCGATAATAATACCGATAGTGATATTGATCGTGACACCGACATTGACATCGAGAGTGATATCGATATCAATATCGATAGTGAGATCGATCGTGAAATCGATAGTGAGACCGATAGTGGTACCGATAGTGAGATCGATGGTGAGATCAATAGTGAGATCGATAGTGAGATTGATTGAGTGAAACGTTGGTCCTTCCTCCCCCGAACCTCCTCATTACCCGAAAGATGGTCGTATAGAGACCATCATGTAGGAACAGGACGAGAGACATAACGGCAGCAAGAGAGACCAGCAAGACAGCAGTCCAGCGGAGTTCTTCACAGCCTGGCATCCCCAGTGGCCAGGGGGTCTGGCGCTTCTTGATGAAAGAACTGTTGAGAGTGGCTGGCAGTTAAGGCCGGTTTTGGGGCCGAGTTGGCCCAGCACTGGTTCTTGCCAGCAGGAATGGGGGAGAAAGGGCCCCCCTCGTCGCCATGGCTGGACGCGGCTCGAAAAGCTTGTCAGTTTCGACCCCGGGAGGGGTCCTGGGAGGGACCTTGAGCGCTCGCCCCCTCCTTTTATCATATTTTCTCGGGTCCCATCCAGCTCAGACCCCGCGGCCGCTCCCAAGCTGGGGGAGGTGACCAGGGATGTTGGCCGTGGGGTTGGCCCGGTATTGGCCGGGCGTGGTAAGCTGCCGCAGTTTTTGGATCCGCAGTGCGTTCAATCAGTCACTGAAGGGGGCGGCCTTCTAAGCAGGCGTGGGGGATGTTTCTGGAAAGGAATGGTATTTGTACCTGGCCCACCTCCAAGGGGGGTGGGCAAAACAGAGCGCGCAAGTGTGGAGGAGGAGGAGGAGGACGAGGAGGAGGAGGAGGAGGAGAAGGAGGAGGAGGAGGACCAGTGTAAACTCAAGAGTCATCAACTATGTTGGAATAAACCCTCTCTCCAAGCTCCCTCTTCATAGGCCCCTACAGCGGTTCATGTCCATTGAGGGAACTGCCTCGTTGGAAGACAACCGTTTGAAAACCCTGAAGCACGCCAAAACATTGTTCTCGGGGTTCCACCGCCACGGATCAACCTGACTGTTGCGTCTTGACGATCCTCAATCGTGCCAGAACGCCATTCCTGGGACTTCAACACAGCGAATCAAAGTAACTGTTGACCCACGTAATCTTGAATTTCTTCAGAACACTGTTTCTGGTACGTTGATGATGGGAACCCGTGAAACTCTTATAATTTGTTAAAACGCGTGTGCGCGGCACTAATGAAGGCGAGAGCCACATTTTGAAAAGGAGCCGCCCTCAATCCGTGAAGCTCTTACATTTTTAAAGGATGTGCGCCGCGCTAAAGCGAGAACCACATTTTGAAAACGGTTGGCCCTCACTCCGTGAAGCTCACAATCTTTGAAAACGAACGTGCGCGGCGCTGAGACGAGAGCCACATTTTGAAAACCACCCGCCCTGAATCCGTGAAACTCTTGCAAATGTTTAAAACGAATGTGCGCCGCGCTAAGGCGAGAGCCGCATTTGGAAAACCACCCGCCCTCCATCGGTGAAACTGTTGCCAATTTTTAAGCTTCCGAGTCTTAAGTGATGAGGAAGTCTCAGGCGAAACGCCCGGCCCGCCCTAAAAACTAGCCTCGGGGTGCGACAGGGAGAAGTTATTCATAAGGAAAACGAGTGGAGGAGGAGGAGGAGGAGGAGGAGGAGGAGGAGGAGGAGGAGGAGGAGGAGGAGGAGAGGGAGGGAGGAGGAGGAGGAGGAGGAGGAGGAGGAGGAGGGAGGAGGAGGACGGAGGAAGGAGGAAGGAGGAGGAGGAGGAAGGAGGAAGGAGGAAGGAGGAAGGAGGAGGAGGAGGAGGAGGAGTAGGAGTAGGAGTAGGAGGGAGGGAGGAGGAGGAGGAGGAGGACTTCTGATAACTATGCGGGGGCGTGCTCCCCCCAAAAGGCTGCCAAAGGTGGCACAGGTCTTCGGATGTCCCCGAAGGTCGGTCTCCAAAGCACCCCAGAGGCCCCCAGAGGTCCAACGAATCGTCGATCCTCGAATCCCCGAATTCCACGATCCTCGATCCTCGAATCTTCGAAATCCTCCTCGAATCCTCGATCCTCGAATCCTTGAAATGGGCCTCGATCCTCGAATTCCTTTCTCGTCCAGCTTCTCCCCTCTGTCTTAGCTGCACCTCCTGGGAGGGTGGATTCAGCATTTGCCCTTGTGCATCCTTGGTCGATCTGGCCTAGTTCCGCCTGGTCTGGCTCATTCTGGCACAATGCGTGGCCCAACCGGATCTAGTATGCTCTCGGTCGGGCAGAACAGCCCTCAGCCGTTCTAACAAGGAACTCCTAGGAGCTCTGCCCTCTCCCATGTCCTCTCCTCGGGAGTTCGGGATCAAGAAAGGGTCTGGTCAGCGTTCGGATCGGCCGAGTCTCTTCGGTGATGCCTGGGAGGCCCGAGCACTGACCTCACTCAATTCAACGGCGAGCGAGGGGAGGAAGTGAGAAGGAGAAGGCCTCCTCGGAGGGTGGCGGGCTCCTGGTTTTCTGTGTCTTCGGGGAAGGCTTAGAAGCCTTCTCAGAAGGCCGGGGGGCTTCCGAGCCTTCTGAGAAAGCCCGCCCCTTCCCACTTCCCCCCCGGGCTCGCTGCCGATCACTGTGGCCCTCAGGCGGCAGCTCCACGCGTGATTGGTCAGTCCGGTGCTCAGAAGGCGCCGGTGGCTCTCGAGCAGCTCCCTCGGGCTCCCCGGCGCGGGCCGGACCATTTTCCAGATCCCCGGGGGGATGGTGTGGCCCTGCCCTCCTCGACGCCCGCCGCTGACGACTTGGCATCGCCCGGACGTGTGCGTTTTTTCTCGGCAGGACCTTCGAGGAGTATTTTGGGTCCTCCTGCGAAACGTGCACACGCACACGGAGCCAACACGTGCACGGGCAGCGGGCGTCCGAGCGATGGCAAGAGAAGAGGACACCGTGCTGCGCGACACGTGGCAGGCCTCCACGATCGCTGGCCTCGAGGAGCCGACCCTGCTGATCGACGCCAGCGCGCAGGAGACCCTGGCCGCTGCCGACGGCCTCGGCCCCTGCGGCGACGGCGACGCCGTCGAAGTCGGAGGTCTTCGGGCGCCTCTGGGGCTTCTCGTCGTTGGGGAGCGCCTGCGAACTCTGCTGCTGGGGCCTTCGGTGGAGCTCCGTGTGGGGCCACGAAGCGTGCGAGGGGTGCGTCGACTTGGGCCCGGGGTCCGCATGAGGACGTCGCCAATGAAGCCTTCGGTGCACGTGGCCACGGCCACTGGAGCCTTCGGTGCGGCGGGCGTATCCATTTCCACGCCGTCGCGGCTTGGAATTCGTCTTCGTCTCCTCGCGGGGTGCGCGGCTATTTACCGGCAGCGGCAGGCACCTCCCCCTGGGCCCCTTTCCACATGCTCGGGCGCGCAGAGGCAGTCGCACGGGCGCCTGGCTGCAAGCAGCAGTGGTGGCCCGCGATCCGCGATCGTTGTTTGAGAGGGAGAGAGAGAGAGAGAGAGAAAAAGAGATATATATATAGAGAGAGAGAGAGAGAGAGAGAGAGAGAGAGAGAGAGAGAGGGAAAGAGAGAGAGAGAGAGAGCAACAAGAAAAAGCCGACGGCATGCGCGATACACACGCACACACATGTGTATACATCTAACTTCCGCGGCAACGATAAGAGGGGATGGGCACACGGGGGATGCATCGACCCATAATCGCCCACTGATCGCCGATAGGGGTCTAACAGCCCCACCCCGCCCAGGACCTTGCGTGGATTCGCTATCGAGGGCCTGTCGCCGATCTATCGGCGATATATCGCCAATCCCAGGTCGTGCCCCCCCCTTTGTCAGTCCCCCCTTTGTCAGTCCCCTCTTTGGAGGAGGAGGAGGAGGAGGAGGAGGAGAAGGAGGAGGAGGAGGAGGGAGGAGGAGGGGAGGAGGAGGAGGAGGAGGAGGACAGGAGGAGGAGGAGGGAGAGGAGTTACGGAGTTACGGGTGTGGCGACAGTGTCGGTGACTGGGAAGGAAGCGGCTATGTACCCTGCCGCTTACCGCTGGCCAGCTCGGCTTTGCTAAGGGCCTTAGGCCAAAAACCTCGGGATATTCTATCAACGTAATCCTTCCGATTACCAGAAACGACCTCTTCGCACTTAGTGCCTAGTTGTCGGAGCTGCTGAGAAGCATAACAACCGCACCCAGCGCAGAACCAGAGGTTTAAACCCGAGTGAAAACGTAAAACATGAGATTCGTGAGCGAACCCCCCCGAGATATGCACCCTTCGCCCAGGAGGAGGCCGATATAGAATCCCATCAACACTAACTAGGGGAAAACAATCAGTGCTCAGCCAATCGCTGAGACGTGCCACAGAAGCAGACCCCTGACACCTGGAACAGCTCTTTCCGTTTTCCTTCAGACAATGCCGAGAGTTGAAAACAGCACAAACACTGGCCGCTGGGGGCCTGACAACACCAGAGGCTCGCTGCTTTTGCCTACGCTTGCCACCCTGCTCAGCGAGAAGGCGCTCCTCTGCCAGGAGCGTCTCCAAAGTGCTTTGAAGGATACGCATGCGGACTGCGAAAGCTTGCTGCTCGATGCTGTGGATGCGTGCTCGTGCGAATTCGGGCAGTCTGGCGATCGAGGCGCCAGCAGAAGCGAAATGGTCGACTATGGTATTACCTAGAACGAGGAGTCTAGGACCAACATTATTATTATTATTATTATTATTATTATTATTATTATTATTATTATTATTATTATTATATATATATATATATATATCTACAGCCTCTAGGTGGGAATGGACAAACAACACGGTGCAAATGAGTGTGTCCCCCTTCTGTTGGAGCATCTGCCCAACTCGCCACCAGAGGTCTGCATCGGGTCCCGCGGGGTCCAGCCACTTGCGCTGGTACCAACCCAAAGCGACAGCTTCATTATCTGTAGTGTACACACAATGGCCAGAAACTCGACTGAGACAGGCAAGCAAGCACCAGAGCTCTCCTCGCGCTACGGTCTGTCGAAAGCCTGGGAGGGGTCCCCAAGCGCCGACAGAAATTGACATACGCTTGTCTAGAATCTGGAAGGATGCAAGCCCGAGACCTACACGCCTGAGGAGGGGGTGATGGGTTTCTTGCCCTCCACTGGCGTCCCCAAAAACATAAATAGGCCACTCGGGAGTCCCATGGCCAAGGAAATCGAAAACACTGCCATCAGTGGTGGTCCAGACCTCGGAGTCAGGGGGAGGGGGTACCTCCATCCAGCTACTGGGTATGAGCCCCCTAGTCCAGAAACGCTCCTCAGCCTCTGCCTGTGCATAGGCCTTGCTGATGAGATCTTCGCTAAGCTTATATACTGGATGCTGAGACTGAGCGCTACAAGCCCAGACACGATGAAAACTGGTTTCTGGATCTATCTTACATCGTGCACAGACCACGGACATCGACTGACGGCACCGTGTTTGACGACGGGTCCTCGGCCAGTCGGCGCCAACCGCAGCAGCTAAGAGCAGGTTGGCTAGTCGGTGCCCTCCAGGAGCTTGTGCCAACTGATCGAGCAACTGTCTGTACGAGTAATTGTGCACTCCTCCCTCCATGCCAGCGCCACCGTGGTGCTGGGCTGCCTTCTCCCACAAGCTGGCCTGGATGGTGCGCCTGAGCTCGCGAAAGAACTCTTCAGGGATGTCGAGGATGAAGTGACCCGTGACGGTGTCCATATCGAATTGCCAAGCCGACTGCCGATCTGGTGTATCCCATGTCGTAGGTGTCTCAGGTGACCATCCGTGATCGAGCAGATATGAGATGACGGCACCCAGCGGCCCTCGAATCCGTCGACCCCTGGCGGCCTCGGAGAGCGGCGTGAGCTCAGCGACGATCTTGGGCCAAGCCAACTGGATGCCTGAACGCAAAGACGGTTGCGAGGCCCACGTGGCGAGCCACAACCGCAACGTGTCGTTCGGCAACCTGTACTGAGGGTCGCGGTCGGGCGCCTTGAGATCCAGCAGCGTGGTGAGGCACCGACCAGACAGCCTGGGGCCC